AGTCCCATCTCCGTCTCTAACTTGCTGTGTGACCTTGAATAAGTCCCTTCCTCAGTCTCCCCATAAGTACAACGTGAGGATAGAGCTAGACATCTCTAAAGATATGCTGAGTTCCATGAGTCGCTACAGTGCAGAGGCTAAAGAGGTCAGCCAAGAGCAGCTAGCCAGATCGACAGCTTACTCAGGGAAAAATGCACATCTCAGGGAACCCTGACACCTCAGCTCCCAGCTCTGAAGAGAATTTGGGAGACATCCTGAATGCCAGCTTGAGAACTCAGAGCTCTTTCAGGGTACACGAGAGGCTGGGAAGGTCAGAGAGGAAGAGAATTCCTTGAGAAAGGGACTGCAACCATACCTTCTCAACAGCACCATGAAGACAGGCCTGGGCAAAAGACACACTTTGAGAATGGAAACCCACTGTTTATCTGATGGGCTAATTCCTCCTCTGGAGACCTTGTGTTCGTACATGCAGAGACACATCAGTGAACATGTACATGCACATGCGCACACACACACCCCTAAACTGCAAAGCAGAGGACAACTGCTCCACAGTGCTCCGAGCTGCCCCGATGCATGTTCCCTCAGGCCAGGGCCTAACCTCTCTGTGCTTCATCCAGCTGACAAGACCACTGGGGAAAATCGGGGAGGGAATGAGCAGCTGGAGAACATCTCAGTCCAGCTTACAAGAATCAAAGAAGGCTCCAACACCACTCCCCCAGGAACTTTCTGTCCTCCCACTCAGGAGACGGGAACAAAAATAGAGTACTGCTGTGGAGTAGCATGGAAGCATAGCCTCTAGAAAAATTAGGTAGGAGAGCTCACCTGCTTACGCAGAAAGGCACTGCCAGCGGGAGGAGGAAACAGGCTTGAGTGGCATCATGAACCACGAGAAATGGATATGGGGCAGAACTTCTTTTTGCTTTTTTTTTTTTTTTGAGACAAGGTCTCACTCTGTAGCCCAGGCTGGAGTGCAGTAGCACAATCTTGGCTCACTGCAGCCTTGAACTCCCTGGACTCAAGCCATCCTCCTGCTTCAGCCAGGCACACAATACCATGCCCAGCTAACTTTTTTCTTTTTCTTTTTGGCAGAGATAGGGTCTCACCATGTTGCCCAGGCTGGTCTTGAACTCCTAGGTTAGAGTGATCCTCCCACCTCAGCCTCCCAAAGGTGCTGGAATTACAGGAGTGAGCCATATTGCCTGGCCTGGGGCAGGTAGCATCGATCATGGAAGGTGCTAAAAGGGAGACCGTAGGAAGGTTTCCCATAAAAGGTAGCTAAATACTGACTCTGGGAGGGTCTACACCACCCACTTTTGATGGGATGGAGCTTGGGAGCCAAATGACTAGGGTTCTCTGGGGCATCTGGGAAAACATAGCTGGAGGGAACAAACTGCCTTCACTCCAGAAAAACAGAGTCTAACAAGGAACGTGAGCCAGGAACATGTTCTCTGAGGTCCCCGCTGGCCTCAGAATTTTATGATTCTGACTCCTCACAACCCACAAGGAAAGAAGCCTATCACCAATGGGCTTGGATGTTGGGATAGGAAGGCAGGATTTTACTCCAAGCTCTGGGAGCCACTGAAGGACTAAGGCAAACACAGTACAATCAGGGAACTGCAGCTGTTAGCACAGATGGGACCTTAGGGATTCCCAGTGCACTGGCTCCCAAAGTGTTGAAAGCAGAATCAACTGAGTGCTTCCTAAAACTGTACGTGCCCAGCCTCCTCACCCAGGGAGCCCAAGCATCTGTGATCACATAAGCACCCAGGTGACTCTTCAGCAGCTGCCAATTTAGGTTTTGAGATCTTGTTAACACCCAACCCCTCTCCAGTCCCATTTTCAGAGGAGGAAAGCAAGACCCAGAGAGGTGAGGCCTCAGTTGAGTCCACACAGCTGGGTGGCACAGAGCCAGGTCTTCCACTGGCCAGATTCATAGGCTTTTCCCCTAGACTCTGACCGTAGGAGCTGCAGAACCACCAAATAGGATAATGATGCCCCAGAGCCTCTGTGACACACTCAACGGCTTTTCCTGTTTTTTTCCTCTGCCGATCCCAAAGTTGATGATCCCGCTGGCCCGTCCCACAGGGCCCTTCCCCCACAATCATCGAGTGTGCCCCACAGTCCGCAGGGGCCCTCACACCCTGAGCTCTTCTGAGGCCAAGTCTGAGTGTCTAGGAGAAGACTGCTCCCTAGGAGCGGAAGCTGGGAGGAGAGCATGGTTGAGGCCCTTTCCAGGAGGGCCTTTCAGTTCATTTTCATTAAGCTCCTGCTTCATCACTCCCTGGGAAGGACACCCCAGAAACAAAGAAAAGAAAGCCTGACCTCCACTTCACAGGGGCCATGATCTAAGGAAGGGAGGACCTTCAAGAAGCTTCACCAGTATGATACAACAAGCTGGAAGACCCCCAGTCCCCCTCCCCAGGTCAAGGGCCAGCAGAACCTCTGCAAAACGAGGCCCCTATGTAAGAGATCTCTCACATGTCCCTGGCCCCCAGGAGCTGCAGAACTCCAGGACTGTGCCTGCCTGGACCTCAGTGATGAAGCCAGCATGAGAGAGGAAGGTTCTCAAAAGCTCTACTGGTCAGCAGCACTGTCCCTGCCCTGCTGGCTCAATTTGTGCTAATGGGGTCAGGATTCAGGGCTCAACACCTATTTGGCCAATTATCTCTGCTCTCTTCTCAGCCTCAGACTAAGCCCTGACCCTGGACGCCAAGAGAGGAGAGGAGCTTGCTGAGGTCACCCAGCAGAACAGGATGAGGGTCAGGAGGGCAACCTGAGGGTGGGAGGGGTGAGCAGTTCCAGCCCAGGCCAGCTCAGGACGGAGGGCCCAGGGCTCTGGGGTGGGCCAGCCCCTACTCTGCAGGAAGCCGGGCCTTGTGGGCAGTCTCCCCTGCTGGACCAAGCTTCTTCTAAAAGGTGCTAATGGCATGGACAGGACCTGTGGACCTGAGAGTCTTTCCTGTCATTGGGTAAGGGAACAAGTACCCTCATATCCTCTGAGGACACTGGAGGCGGGAGAAGCCCTGGCTGGCTTTGGCATACAGTGGCTGGGGATTCACATTAATCATTAACAGGGGCTGCTCCAGCCTCCAACGGGGAACTGCAGGGTAATTACTTCTGGACTCCAGGCTACACGCTCAGTGACATTATTGCAAGCAACACCTGCCTTCTGGGCCTAGTACAGCAGAAGGGAGTCTTCTTAAAGGTTGTGCAGCTAGGACCACGGTGCGCGCACACACGTGCGTGCACACACACACAAACACAAACACACCATACAGACTCAGATGGCAGCATAGGCAGCTCGCAGCAGCCTGCTCAGAGTCGTTGAGGGTGAAGGGCAGAGCCTAACTCATGCAGGTTAAAAAAGGCAGGTTCTGAGTAAGCAGCCCCCAGCGCCTCCCAACACCCACCCCAGCCAGGCACCCCTTAGCTCAAGCTTCCAGAGGTGTGCTTCCAAGAAAGTGCATAAAATGGTTCTCTTTCCTTCAGATCCACCTCAGTCACTTCCTCCAGGACGCCTTCCCTGACCATCAATCCATATTGATCTATTGCTCATCTGCCCTCCCATAAACCAGAACTGGAACCCACTTTTGACTTTGTCACCCCCAGCCCCCTTAATGGTGAAAGCAGTCTTGGAATGGATGATATGGCATTCTGGAGGGCATGACTCCCTTAGCAGTCCCTCCCCAAACCCAAAAGATAATGATTAGCCAGCCCCCATTACATATTAATTTCTGAAAGCCTTGTTCACGTAGACATAACACATCCACACACACAGATAAGTGCTTACACAGACACAAAATCAGCAGCCAATTATCAGGCCCCCACAGCTGCTGTGATCAGACCTGGAGGACCCGCTGCTCGCTCTGCAATTTGTGATAGCCCAGAGCTGGGGGTACAGTGCGTGAGAGTCCCTCTATCCAGCCGGCTCCGCTCTAGGTCCAGCACCAACCAAGTTCGGGCAGTCGCCCGAACTTACTGCGTGGCTGAGAACACCAGACACCAGCCCCAAATAATAAGAGAGCAGAGTGGGGTGCAGAGCAGTCACGTGTGAGATTTGATGGCTCTGGCATCGGCAGCAGTGGCACTGTTGTTTATTTGTAATTTGTACTTTTCCTCCCAGAGAGGACCAGAGGCAGCTGGCTCAGATGCTAAGAGGTGTAGGAGCTCAGGGAACTTAAGGAGAGCTTCCTAAAGGGGAGCGGGGCACACATGTAGAGCCTAGAGCCTTGGTACCTCAGGAAGGGCACTGAAATTGGCTCAAAGGCTTTGCACAAGGACGCCAGTTCCTGACCCTAGGCCAAATCTTTCCCTTGGCCACAGACTGAACCCCAATCCTGGTTACACACTGAGCCCCAACATTTGTCAGAGACTAAGTTCTAGCCATGGTCACAGAACAAGCCCTGCTTCTAGTCACATGCTGAGTCCTAAACCACAGATCAACTCCACTTCCTAACTTTCCTGAAGTATATAATGAATACATCATGTGACCATTTCTCTGGTGGATCAGAGAAAGATACGACTGGCCACTTGCCCCTTCTCCTCTGGACCCCAATCACCCCCATCCAGGAACAGGAGCATCAATGGCAGCTGGATATGGTCCCCAAGCCCCAAAGGTCTGTAGCAGTCAGGACCTCCCCCAGAAAGAGGAGGTGGGCAGGCATCCCAGCCCAGCATCCCCAGGAACAGCAACCCCAGAGCTGGGGTCAGGACAGCATGCCTCAGCCACCAGAATCTGCACCTTCAGAAAGGGGAAGACTCCCTTCTCATGGGAACAGCCTAAATAACGATGGGATCCTAAAAATACGTATCATCCCAGAAAGACAGGTATGGAGCTAGAGTGACAAGAAAAAGCTCCAACTGACAGAACCATTCTGGAAAAGCCTTCCCCGTAAACATTCTGGTTGGGAAGCTGGGGGTGGACTTAAGTTTGAAGACCTTTGCAGACAGACATTACACAACACACTTGGTCTCTGGTTTTGCCTTGGGCATAGACTTACTCTGTGACCTTGAGCCAGTTGCTCCCCGTCTTTGCTCCTCTGCTCCCCATCTATGAAACAAAGGCTCCAGGTCAGGGTTTTGCTAAGGCCTCTCGAGATCTGCTGTTCCAACACCTGATTGATTTCCTATGCCTGCTGACTATCTCTTTCTGAGCCCTTCCTAGTGTTTAAATTCTCAGGAAACTGTTTTCTTAAAACTTGTATAATTAAATTTTTAAATGTTAACATAAAAGAAGGAGTGTCAAATTCCGGTTCTGATATTCATGACTGCATTATTTGGGGTCTCTCTTTCTCTCTCCTTTCCCTGTCAGAGCCTTATCTGTAAATAGGGGATATAAAACTATTTGGGAGTCATTGTGAAGAATAAATGAAACGGGAGCTGAGAGCTCCTAGCACAGCCTGGCACGTGGTAGATGCTTTGTAAATGGTGGTTACTGATCTGTGAACCTACCTGGCTTTAGTCTCTGCTGATTTGAGTCTAGGGTTGTAAACTATGAAGCCTACAGAGATCAGGCAGCTAAATGGAAAGAATAACGTGGCTGGGTGTAGGCCAGTTTTCAAGAGAAGCCCAAAAGCCGTATTTTTTGTTTGTTTGCTTCTAACTCAATTTTCTTTTATTCGCACAGTTATTTAAACTGGCGCCCTCACCAAGGCCGGCCCAGGGGCATCTCTGTCCTCAGTAGGCTCCCTCCTGTCTGTCATGGATGTGAAGGGCCTCGTGGAGCTTGAAGCTGCTGTCGGAGCCAGTGGTGTTTTCTTTCCTTCATGCTGGCCACCAAGGGCTCTAGACAATGCATGGCTACCAAAGGTATTGCTCACCCAGGCTGGTGCTGCCAACAGGGTCTCCAGGCCCACAGGTGAGCACCTTTATCGTGTCTCCCTACGCTGGCTCAAGTCCCACGGCCCCTCCTGCCCACTCCACAAACAGCAGCCCGGGTGCCTGCAGCTTCCTCCAGGCCATTTCCGTGGTGGCGGTGGGAGGTGCTGTGGAGGCCACTCTGCGTCCACACTTAGCTTTATTTGGGAAAAGCCACTTCCCACCCACCAGGCTGACCTGCTGTCTAGACAGGAGAGGCCGGAAGGAGAGAGCACCACTGCTTGACCAGGTGAGGCCAGTGTGTGTGCCTGAACTGGACTCCTGCCCTGGGTGGGGCTACCAGCACCATTCTGGTTCTCCGGAGTCCTGAGGGCTCTCCCGCTGGCTGGCTGTATGCCACCTCCTCCAGAGGGCTCCATGGGAGCCCTGGTTCTCCGGCTATCCGTGTGCCACCCCCCCAGAGGGCTCTCCTATTGGCTCCATGCATGATTCTCCCAGCATCTGTGTGCCACACCCTCCAGAGGGCTCTCCCTCGGGTGCTTGTGGTCAGTCCTTGGCGATGGTGCTGCAGGCTAGGAGGGCAGGCAGGGTTCCCACCATTGGCAAAAGTGGGCAGAGGCCCAGACCATGGCCAACCAGGCGATGCAAGCCCCCCTCAGGCCTGAGTTGCTGATGTGTGCTGCGTGTGCGCCCCATGGCAGGTGGCGTGCTTAACCCCGGTGTGGGTGTCTTCCCAAAGTAAGAGAAGCTACTGACCAGGCCCCCAGGCCAGACCCCCTGCTGGAAAGAGCAGACACCTGGGTGTGTCAGGCTTGTTGGGCACAAGCTGCCCCTGTTGTGAGTAGGAGTGGCCCACACCTGGAGGCTGGTCTTCACCTGGCCTCATTCTTCCAGGAGCCTTGCACCCAGTGTGTCCCAGCACCCAGCGCCGGGGCTCCAGGGTGTCCTGCGGGACACTGTGCCCCTGAGGAGCTAAGGGGGTCCCAGGTGACTCCACACAGTGGTCTCTGGGGGCTTCCACCTGGTCCCCCAGAGATCGTCCTGTGCCTGCTGCCCTTAGCTGGCTTTGACATCTTCTTGCTAGCATGATTCTTGGCTGCGGGCCCTCCTGGGTCATGGAAGATGGAGGTCTCCGGGACCACTGTACACAAGCGGCCACATACTTCTGCCAAATTACCACTTGGTGATGCCGAACATCATGACCACCCAGTTGCAGTTCTTGTACACGTCCAGGAACTCAGCGTCCAGGGCCATTTCGAATTCCGCCTCCTGTGGGTCGTTCTCTATCTTCAAGCCATGTCTCACTTTTGACATTTTCCTTTGACCACCAAGTCTTCAACTTTCATGATGTAGCTCCAGTAGACGCTGGTGACCTGGATCTCCTACGTGGGGAGAACTGCCTCCTCCATGAACGGCGGGCCCTGCAGGCAGTGCCACAGTGCGTTTTGCCGGTTTTCCTGTCTCCCCAGATCACTGTTTCCATGTTGTACTGCACCCCCTTGGCGAAGCGCCTCTGCGACGCTTGGTTCATGGACTGCGGCCCGGCAGGAATGTTCTTATCCCGGCCCGGGACCTGCTCCGACCCCACCAGCTTCCTCAGGGCGGAAAACAAGCTCAGCGGCTGCAGGGAAGGGGTGCGACTCGCACCATGTCCCGGAAGCCAGAGGCCGGCGTCCCAGCAGTGGAGCACCGCCTGGAGCAGCAGCTTCATTGCCGCCCCCGCAACCTCAGGCAGGGCCGCTCTCCAGGCTTCAGTGGGGCGCTCAGGCACGACCGCTCTCCGGGCTTCAGTGGGGCGCTCAGGCAGGGCTGCTCACACAGGGCCGCTCTCCAGGCTTCAGTGGGGCCCTCAGGCAGGGCCACTCTCCAGGCTTCAGGGAGGCCCTCAGGCAGGGCCGCTCTCCAGGCTTCCGTGGGGCACTCAGGCAGGGCCGCTCTGCAGGCTTCCGTGGGGCGCTCAGGCACGGCCGCCTCTAGGCTTCTGTGGGGCCGTCAGGCACCGCCGCTCTCCAGGCTTCAGTGGGGCGCTGAGTCAGGGCTGCTCTCCGGGCTTCAGTGCCACCATCTTGGCACCAGCTAACAGGGACGAGGAGGGCACCATATTTTTATGTTATATCTTTCCATTTAAAAACATTGGCTCCGGTGGCTCATGCCTGTAATCCCAGCACTTTGGGAGGCCAAGGCGGGTGAATCACGAGGTCAAGAGATCGAGACCATCCTGGTCAACATGGTGAAACCCTGTCTCTATTAAAAATACAAAAAATTAGCTGGGCATGGTGGTGCATGCCTGTAATCCCAGCTACTCAGGAGGCTGAGGCTGGAGAACTGCATGAACCCAGGAGGCGGAGGTTGTGGTGAGCCGAGATCGCGCTGTTGGACTCCAGCCTGGGTAACAAAAGCAAAACTCCATCTCAAAAAAAAAAAAAGAGGCTCAAAACAGAGACATAGACGAATGAAACAGAACAGAGACTCCAGAAGAAACACCACACGTCTACAACCATCTGATCTTCGACAAACCCAGCAAAAACAATCAATGGGGAAAGGACTCCATGTTTAATAACTGATGTAGGGAAAACTAGCTAGCAATGTGCAGAAAGCAGAAACTGGACCCCTATCTGTCACCTTACACTAAAATTCACTCCAGATGGATCAAAGATTTAAGCATAAAACCTAACACACCTTAAAAACGTAGGCAAAATTATCCAGGGCATAGGCAAGGACTTCATGACTAAAATACCAAAAGCAATGGCAATAAAAGCCAAAATAGACAAATGGGATCTAATGAAACTTCAGAGCTTCTGTACAGCAAAAGAAACCATTACTAGAGTGAACCAGCAACCAACAGAATGGGAACAAATTTTTGCAATCTGCCCATCTGACAAAGGGCTAATATCCAGAATCTACAAAGAACTAAAACAGATTTACAAGAAAAAAACAAGCCCATTCAAAAGTGGGCAAAGGATATGAACAGACACTTTACAAAAGAAGACATATATGAGGCCAAGAAACATGAAAAAATGCTCACCATCACTGGTCATTAGAGAAATGCAAATCAAAACCACACTGAGATATCATCTCACGCCAGTTAGAATGGTGATCATTAAAAAATCTGGAGACAACAGATGCTGGAGAGGATGTGGAGAAATAGGAACACTTTTACACAGTTGGGTGGAGTGTAAATTAGATCAACCACTGTGGAAGACAGTGTGGCGATTTCTCAAGGATCTGGAAATAGAAATTCCATTCAACCCAGCAATCCCACTATTGGGTATATACCTAAAGAACTACAAATCGTTCTACTATAAAGACACATGCACACATGTGTTCATTGCAGCCCTGTGTACAATAGCAAAGACCTGGAACCAACCCAAATGCCCATCAATAATAGACTGGACAAAGAAAATGTGGTACATATATACCATGGAATACTAAGCAGCCATAAAAAACGATGAGTTCGTGTCCTTTGCAGGGACTTGGATGAATCTGAAAACCATCATTCACAGCAAACTGACCCAAGAACAGAAAGCCAAGCACTATGTTCTCACTCATCGGTGGGTGTTGAACAACAAGAACACGTGGGAGAGGAGCATCACACACAGCACAGTTGTGTGGATTGGGAAGAGACAATGGGGTGTGAGGAGGGAGAAGAGGGTGGGGAGAAATAACCTGGGGAGAAATGACAGATATAGTATTCACCTAAAGTAAAATAAATAAATAATTTTAAAAACAAACAAAAAAGAACTTCCTTCAGCTACTTTTAGGACTGGTCTGCTGGCAACAAATTCTTTTAGTTTTCTTTCATTTGAGAATGTGTTGATTTTCCCATCATCCTGAAGGATATCTCTGATTGATATAGAATTCTTGGTAGACAATACTTATCTTTCAGCACTTCAAAAACGCTGCCTTTTCATCTTCTGGCCTCTGTAGTTCCTAATGATAAATCCAGTATCATATGAATTGTTCTTCCCCTCTAAGTTAGGTTTTACATCTTTCACCACATACAAGACTTTTTGTCTTCGGTTTTCAGAAGTTTGATTATGATGTATCAGTTGATGTGGATTCTTTTGGGTTTATCCTGTTTGGGTTTCACGCATACCTTTACTGACACTGCAGAGGAGGTACTGGTAGTATGTGGACTCACTGCTGCCATGCATTTGTGAATGGGAGGGATGCCTTGTTACTGCCCAAAGGGGACAGAAATCCAGGTTTCCCACGTGGCCTCCACTGATACCACTGGGCAGAGGGGCTCATTACTGCCCCATTAGGATGAAAGTCCCAATTCCCTACTTGGCCTTCTCTGATACCCCTGTAACAGGGTGGTCTTCAGCTTGGCAAGGGTGAAGTCCAGGTTACCTACTTGGCCTTTGCTGGTATGGGTGCTGATGGGACCATAGTTTTTTTCTATGGTGTCCAGCTAGAGTAGAGCAGTTATTGACAAAAAATATCTCGGCGCACTGTGACCTCCACCTCCCAGATTCAATTCTCATGCCTCGGACTCCCAAGTAGTTGGGATTACAGGTACCCAGCACCACACCTGTCTAATATTTGTATTTTTAGTAGAGACGGGGTTTTACCATGTTGGTCAGGCTAGTCTCTGTGGGTCAACACGGCCAGGGGGAGACCTATGTTAATTCTAGCTAAATAATTAGAAACTTGTTTGGTTTAATGTACACTTAAGTTTATGCACCAAACTAAACTATATTATTGGTGCAGTTAATCAGAAATCAAGCAGCAACAGGAGGCCTAAGGTAAAGACCACCTGAGAGCGAAGTAACACCAGGAAACCATGCAGGGTGGTTGCAGAGCAGGCAATACTCTAGTACTACAAATGCCTTCTCAACATGGAGAATGTATGAGGGTCTGCTAAAGAGGGCTTATGCAAAGATCTCTGAGAAGGGAGGTGACCTCTGCTCACAAGATCTGGGAGGGTCTTTGTAGATGGGAGCTGGCAAGGAGGAGAAAAGCCTTGCAGGGCACAGATCATGGAACACCTCAGGCTCTGCCTAGTTTCTCGGAATATGAAATGGTTTTAATTGCTCTATGCCCTCAATGCTCAGGAGATAAAAGCCCCTTCATGCATTGGGTAGGGTCAGACAGGGTGTCTCCTCCTGCCAGACTTCTGATGCAGCTGCACCCTTATAACAATCAGAGCACTAGTTTAGCATGTCTTAGAAGCATCTCAAGTACTCCCCACCATCTTACCTACCCCTTCACCCTCCCCTTCCATGCCCATAACATCAATGAAGTATGCACATAATAAAAGTGTTTGGAGCTCAGAGCTTGGGGCCAACCACCGGGACTGAGGGCACCAAGAAATGGGGCTGGGGCTGGTACTCAACAGTCTCAAACTCCTGACCTCAAGTAATCCAAGCGCCTTGGCCTCCCAAAGTGCTGGGATTATAGGCATGAGCCACTGCACTTGGCCTTTTTTTTTTTTTTTTTAAATTGAAGTAGGGTCTTATGTTGGCTAGGTTAGTCTTCAACTCTTGGCCTCAAGTAATCCTCTCACCTTGGCTTCCAAAAGTGGTAGGATTACTGGCATGAGCCATTGCATCTCACCTAGTGAATTCATTTTTATAACAATTAAAAGAAAAAAGTTATCTACTAAATAATTCTTCCAATTCCCTTAAAAACATCCGTAAGTTTTTTTGGTTGTTGTTTCATATCCATAAGTTTAACTAAAACACAGTCATACAAATCATGGGATTTACTCTTACCTAGTTCACTGCCATTTGCACAAATGTTAAGATTGATGTATAGACAAGCAGGACCAGGAAGGGAAGATCCTCTGGTAAGTGGAATTTCCAGCTCAGATCCCTTCAACTGAGCACATGAGAACATACGTCTGAGTAACTGCGGCACCTGACTGCAATGTGCCACACCATCATGTAACACAGTGACTACTCAGTAACAACAAAGGCTGTATAACTGTGGGTAACCACCCATATAGGCACTGAGGAATGAGAGCTAAGCAGAACCCTGGCACAGTTAGGGCTTGAGGAGTATCTCGCTTTATAGTGTTACTACTCAGAGATTTCCTTTTATATAATCCTTTACACAATCATATATTAGTTTATAGAATTAGGGCTTGAAGAATCCCTTTATATAATCCTCTATATATAATCATATAATAGTTAATAGTATAAGTGCCTAAAGAATATTTCCCTACATATATACCTATAATTATATCTTAGTTCATAATCGGAGGAATGCCTAGATCAGACACAGTGCAGAGCATGATTTAAGGGAAAACACAGTTATACCAGGACAAGAATCCATGGCCCAAGAGGCAGTGTTCAGTATCGTAAAGATACCTGCTGTATGGCAGGCTTGGGGCGAGAGCCACTCCTGATAAAGGAGTTGCAGAACCTTGCTCCAGTTCTTGTGGAAGGCTGCCCTCAGACCAGCAATCCACCTTGGTGGCTGTGAACTTTATCAGCTTTTGCTACTGTGCTGCTTGAAAAGCATCTTCCCATAGAACCCATTGGAAGCTGCCAGAAGGTGGCGGTAACCTTGACAACTGTCACTGCTATGTGACTTACAGCATCCTCCTATAAATCTTCTTAGAAGTAGTTTACCCATAGATAGAAGTATTGCACACTGCACCCTCTTCACGGTGCACGGCCCTCCTTTAAGCCTCAGTGACCTAATGGGGGTGGACCCCTAACTGCACACGACCCTTGCTGCGCACTGTCCACCTCCTGGCCTAGGTGATGTAACGGGGGTGGACCCCATGTTTTATTGCTCATGACCCTATCATTATTCTTAAAGATGATTTCACTCGCTGTCCTGCCTCCTAACCTATACACAATAAATACTCATGCTTCTGGACATTTGGGTCCTAGCCTGACTTCGCTTATAGGTGGCGTGGCCCCCTGAGCCCAACTGCGTTTTCCTTGTACTTCTGTGTCCTGTCTCTTTATTTCTCGGATCCTGCGCCTCAGCACAGCATAAGGCACACCCCACAGTATACAACTGACAACATATTCAATCTCATTACTCAAAGAGTCAAAAGCTACAATTTATATCCCATTTTTTCTCCTTTTATTTTTATTTTTTTATTGAGACTGAGTTTTGCTTCTGTTACCCAGGCTGGAGTGCAATGGCGCGATCTCGGCTCACCGCAACCTCCGCCTCCTGGGTTCAGGCAATTCTCCTGCTTCAGCCTCCTGAGTAGCTGGGATTACAGGCATGCGCCACCATGCCCAGCTAATTTTTTGCATTTTTAGTAGATTCGAGGTTTCACCATGTTGACCAGGATGGTCTCAATCTCTTGGCCTCGTGATCCACCCGCCTTGGCCTCCCAAAGTGCTGGGATTAGAGGCGTGAGCCACCACGCTCAGCCCTATTCTGCTCTCTTAAAAATAAATGCTCACTTAAAAAAAAGTAAAAAAAATTACACAATATGCAAAACAGAAAATGAAACTACACTACAACTCGCCTCACTGAAAAGATAAACAGCCATGGTCAGCCCCTTCTTGTCTTGTCCTACTTGTCCCATACAAAGAATGAGAAGTGACTGAGGCATATTTTAAATGATCTACTTTTTTTTTCTTTTTTTGACACAGGGTCTTGCTCTGTCGCCCAGGCAGTAATGTGATCTTGGCTCACTGCAAACTCTACCTCCCATGTTTAAATGATCCTCCTACAAGCCAATATCTTCCCTACCTTAATATCAGACTTTCATAAGTATATCTAAAATTCCTAGCTATAACAGCAGAAAATGCAGTTTTTGGTGATTTTTCTTTTTTGGTATGGTAATTTTATGGAGAACCTACTACCAGAAGAGTTAAATGCTTTTCAAGCCAATTGCTGTTTACTTTTAATAATTACCAGAATCCACACACTCACCTTGCCAGTTTTAGAAAAACAGGCCCACATAGCCATTTTATTTCTGGGCAAAGCTCATCTACTCTCCTGGCTACCTTCCTCAAGAGAACTGTTGTGAGAACAGTTCTGCCTTCTATCCCCCGCTCCATCTTTTCTCAGTTTCCACTCTCTAGCTCTACCCACTACTGTCCAGAGCAATACTTCAAGACTGAGTGCTGTGCCAATCTCTACTGGGGGACAGAATAGTAACATGTGAGTACATAAGGTAAACCTAATCTAAAAACTTTTAGCAGTTCAGTGGGACTCAGCACTCACCTGTTTTTTCTTGAATAAGGATTTTATCTGATGGAGGAGCTGGATATTGTTTCAAGGGAGCCTTTATGGTGGCAAATATGAACTCTGTGTGGCTTTCAAAACATTACTCAGATATCTTCACTCTGATTTCATCAGTTGGACCAGATGGCACTGAAAGTACACATAGAAAATTTTAAAAGGAAAGTACATTCTACTAATCAGAACTTAAAGAAGGTACTGTTGAACAAGGGCTACGGATCCCATGCTGAATCATCACAGAAGGGCAGTCACCCGTCCCTCCCTGCTGGGTGATCTATGAGACTAACTGCACTGCAATACAGGATTACCTTTGTATCCTTTCCCCCACTCTTTGGGGGCAGGGCATGTTTCTTTTCCTGACACAATCAGTGCCTCATGAATGTTGAAACCAAGAAATAACTCAGAACCCACTTATCACAGTTCTGAACTGATTCAGAGGTCACAAGCACCCTCTTATCTGCTAGAACAGTCTCCTCAGACCCTGAACCGCCTGGGAAGCTAGACATGCGGCAGTTGTCCCTGCCCTCTGCAGGGCAAGAAATTCCTGATTCTCTCACTGGCAGGGTCGTGGCAGCCCCTCGGCTCTCCAGGATGAGCTCTGTATGTATTTCTCAGTTCTCTAATGAGGAAAAACTACCCCACTCTGTCCAGACCGAGGAAACTCCCCTAAGCTAGAAGCCTGTATATGCTGACTGCAGCTCTGACCTTCTGCAAAGACACTATCATCTCTGATTACCTCTGTCCCAGTCACAGAGGCTATTTCATAGAAGCCCAATGGAGCTTTAAAAAAAAAAAAAAGATGGGAAAAGGCACAGGCTGGCTGAAAGCTACAGCTTGTGAGTGAACATGTGGGGAGGGGAAGAAGAGTGACTTTCCCGCAAAATACAATCCAAATAGACTGTCATGCACTGATCACTACGGTTTATATTACCTGCCTCTCCTATCTTCCCCCAACAACCAAAATGCCAAAACAGTAGCTTATTGTTAACTGGCAAACTAACCTTTTTGTGAAGTTTCTGTATGTGACTGATGACTTCTCGAGTCATTCCTTCATCCACCATTGACTGGTCAGGAGTGACATCAAAGAGCACCAAAGCCTGTGGGAATGAACAGTGCACACCATACCATGACAATCAAATAAGGAGAAACACTTTTTCCCACCTCAGCAAAATGCACTTTAAAACTTAAGCTGGAGACTCTTTAATTCAGCACTGTTGGGAACGATCCAAGATGGCCGATCGCTAACATCCCAGGATTGCAGCTCTCAGAGAAAGCGCAGAGAACTAGAGTACGCCACACTTTCAGACAAATTCTGGTCGCTCACGGAGCAGAAGATCCCCCAGTGGAGGAAACACACGGGTGGCCAGCGCGACTCTCGTGGCCGGCACAGCGGTTCCTCCAGCACCTCAGCGCGGCAGCTCTCGGAGCAGAGTAAACAGGTTCGGAGGACCCACACAGGCCCCCAACACAACACCAGAGCCCGGCGCAGCGGCAGTGACGGCACCTCGGCGCAGCAGCGCTCGGCGCAGAGTAAACGGGACTGGTTCCCCTTCTGACCGAGGTTTGGAGCCCCAGGAAGGCAGAGTCGCCTACTACGGACACAAGAAGGAAGCCAGACAGGAGAATCCTGGGCAGAAAAGCACCATCAGTTTTAACGCCGCTGCTCTGGCCCTGGGAACTAACAACCTGGACGTCCACTCAAGAGACCTAATCTGAAAGTTGGTAATTTCAAAGACAGCAGGAGGATAAATTTACAATGACGGGAAGAAACCAGCGTAAAAAAGCTGAGAATACTCAAAGTCAGAACGCCTCTCCCTCTAAAGATGATCACAGTTCCACATCAACAATGGAACAAGGCTTGATGGAGAACGAGCGCATCCTGATGACAGAATCACTCTTCAAGGAATGGTTAATAACAAACTTCGGTGAGTTAAGAGAACATGTTGTAGCCCAACGTAAAGAAACTAGGAACTTTGAAAAAAAGTTTGATGAAATCCTATTGAGAATAGACAACTTAGAGAGGAGTATGAGTGAAATAATGGAAATGAAAAATACAATACAGGAACTCCGAGAAGTATGCACAGGTTTAAACACTCGAATTGTTCAAGCAGAAGAAGGGATATCAGAGGTCAAAGTCCAACTTAATGAAATAAAATGCGAAGAAAAGATTAGAGAAAAAAGGATAAAAAGGAATGAGCAAAGTCTCCAAGAAATGTGGGACTATGTGAAAAGACCAAATTTACCTGTGATAGGTGTACCTGAATGCGACGGAGAGAATGAATCCAAGCTGGAAAATACCCTTCAGGATATTATTCAGGAAAATTTTCCTAAACTAGCAAAGCAGGTCAACATTCAACCCCAGGTAATACAGAGAACACCACAAAGATATTCCTCAAGAAGAGCAACCCCAAGTACATTATCGTTAGATTCACCAGGGTTGAAACGAAGGAGAAAATACTAAGGGCAGCCAGAGAGAGAGGTCAGGTTACCTACAAAGGCAAGCCTATCAGATTTACAGCAGATCTCTCAGCAGAAACTCTACAAGCCAGAAGAGAGTGGGGGCCAATATTCAACATCCTCAAAGAACAGAACCTTCAGCCCAGAATTTCATATCCAGCCAAACTAAGCTTCACAACTGAAGGAAAAATAAAATCTTTTATGAACAAGCAAGAACTCAGAGATTTTATTACCACCAGGCCTGCTTTACAAGAGCTTCTGAAAGAAGCATTACACACAGAAAGAAACAACCAGTATTAGCCTTTCTAAAAATACACCAAAAAGTAAAGAGCACCAACATAAAGAAGAATTTACACCAAAGAATGGATAAAACAGCCGGTCAACATCAAATGGCAGTAACCCTAAATATAAATTGACTAAATCCCCCAATCAAAAGACACAGCCAAAACCCAATGGCATGTTACATCCAGACCTGTTTCACATGCAAGGATACACAAAGACTCAAAACAAAGGGATGGAGAAAGATTTACAAACCAAATGGAGAGCAAAATAAATAATAAATAAATAAAAAGAAGGAGTTGCAATTCTCATATCGGATAAAATAGATTTTAAAGCAACAAAGATATAGTGGTAAAAGGATCAATGCAACAACAAGAGCTAACGATCCTAACACCCAGATACGAGACTTACATTCAATGAGACAGAAAATTAATAAGGATATCAAGGACTCGAACTCAGATCCGGAACAAGTAAACTTAATAAATATTTATAGAGCTCTCCACTTCAAATACACAAAATATACATTCTTGTCAATACCACATCATACCTACCCGTAAGTTTAAATGAAACATTGATTGGCCATTATTAATACCCAAGTTTTTTCAAAATAAAGCAAGATTTCCATTTACTCTCCCTCTTTCTCTTCCTCTCCTTTACTTATTTTTTTTTTCTTTCCTTCTCTCAAAAAAAATCAAATTGTAAACCTCTAGATCCAGGTCGGCAATGTCTCTCTCATTGCTTGATTTCCTTCCTTCCCTTCCCTTCCCTCCCTCCCTCCCTCCCTCCCTCCCTCCCTCCCCGCTTTCTCCCTTCCTTCCTTCCTTCATCCCTTCCTTCCTCCCTACCGTCCTTCTTCCCTCCCTTCCTGCCTTCCTCCCCACCCCCAAAAAAAAAAAAAAAAAAAAAAAAAATTCAGCACTGTTTGTTCACACAAATGAGCAAAAGCAATAAAATTTATCTAGTTTATTATTCAGGTACTTCTTCATAACCCGCCAGTCCTCTATCTCTGGAGAAAGGTGTGCAGCTTTTTGTTTCTTCTTTTTTTGTAGGGTGCTGCTCACAGGAGATGCCCTGAAACCACCTCTTGAGTCCCTCACATGACTCTGCTTTTCGGCCATCAAAGAAGTAATATTAACTCTTCTAATAAATAAGATCAATAATCATGAAGCCCCGGAAGCAGCACAGCTTTTCAGGCCACAACAGGTGGATCAAAGGCTTCACAGCAGTCAACTCCAAGTGACTTTCTTATACCATGACCCCTGTGATCTTTAGGTTTGTCAGAATGACTAAAGACTAATTCTACAATGAACCACAAAACTTTCTGACTTAATATAAACTGCCAAATTTTCTAAGGTTAATGATTCTATTTATTCTGAAGGTTGTTCATTATGATGTAGCAATAATGACACTATCACTTCTGTTACACAGCACATTGCAGAGTAGAATACACTCTACAAAAGACTTGTAAATCAGGTATCATCTCATTTACCTTTGAGCAAAAAGAGAAGTTAAGAAATGACTCACTTCACAAAGGCATCACAGGTAATGAAATGAATGATAAACTCAAAACTCCAGTCAGTGGAGGGCCACCAAACCCACTACATCTAAGCCATGTCAAGAAACTCAGTAGCACCACATGAGAACACTTTTCAGGCCCCTAACATTTGTTGTAATGAGGAAGAACTGCCCACTGTCAAACGTTTACAAACCTCCTCCCTGCCTTCCCTTGCATTCTTTCCCAACGTCGATACCTCTGACTCCTTGCCACTGTCTGCCCATGGGGAGTTCTGTACACATCTAACTTAAGCGCCTGGTTAAAGGACTGAGGAGGTCGACCTTCCTTCATGGAGGTGCTGCTCTATCTTTCCCCTGCAAATGATATGCTAAGCACAGATATCCCCAATCCCACACGCGAGATCTTACAATGATGCCGACTGGGGATGTCTGGTCAAGATTGCAAGGAGTTAGTCTCTTTTCCATTATGGCAAAAAATATTGACACCAGAATCAAAAACAGCCTGTATATTATCTTCAAGGAGTGTTTCCTGACCACTTTCACCTCTATGCCATTTTTGGATAGGAGCTCTCTGTGTACTTATTTCTACCAGATAACTTATCAGGTAGAATACTAAGCAATGGCTTAATTTCATATGTTCTTGACTAACTCCTTGAAGTGTTCACTTTTTTTTTTTTAAGATGGAGTCTCGCTCTATTGCCCAGGCCGGGGTGCAGTGGTGCAATCTCCGCTCACTGCAATCTCCGCCTCCCGGGTTCAAGTGATTCTCCTGCCTCAGCCTCCCAAGTAGCTGGGACTATAGGCACGTGCTACCATACCCAGCTAATTTTTTGTATTTTTAGTACAGACTGGGTTTCACCATCTTAGCCAGGCTGGCCTCGATCTCCTGACCTTGTGATCTGCCTACCTCGGCCCCCAAAGTGCTAGAAGTACAGGTGTGAGCCACCGCGCCCAGCATTAAGGGTTCATTTTTATGAAACACCACACTTGAGACAATTACATGTAGAAATCACAAGATACTTATGTATTCATTAAACAAATGCATATGTTAAAGACATAATAATATATTAGTTTGACAAAGCCAATCTAAACCAAGTAATTGGTTTATTTTACCCTGAGACAAACTGTCAACATTATCAGGAAAGGCATAGGCAAATGCTTTCTCCTCTTATGCTCTCATCTCTTGGTAAAGAAATGTTTTAGGAAACAGAAAAATACTTGAGCATCTGAGTGTGCTTCAAATTGTGCAGTCCCACCTGTGGCCTGATCAAAGGTGTACATGAGGCAGATGTCTTCATCATGCAATTCGTGGCCTTCCACAACAACGGTCCCTATGGAGAAGCAGATACACTGTTAATCAGCTTCCCTTCTTCAAGCTGCGCCACTACCCGTGTATTATGCCCCTTCTTCATGAAAATATCACAATACCAAAGCCACAGAGGTTTCAAGAGAACATTTCCCTCTGACTCATGTCATGGTTGTAGCTAAGATATGACAAACTTTCTTTGGACTACACTACGCTACCTTGAAGACAGTTAAATCATCACCAACATCTAGTTTTATTTAAACTCTCAGGTCCACAGACATGACAAGGCTAAGGGAAGGCACCTAGAGGCAACAAATGCTCACCATAAACACAGAGCAGCAGGATGTAATGAAGAAAACACAGTCTTTAGAGAGAAAGTGAACTTAGGTCCACTATTAGCCGGTTGCATAACATGCTGAACAAGGTGTGGTGAGGCTAAAACGAGACAGGCAGTGTGTGGTACTGAGCATCATGCCTGCTCAGAGGAGACAGAAATGTGCACAGCTGCTGACGACAACAACCCTGGTGACAGAGGCCCACTGTTGTCATTGATAATGACTCTTTTGGGCTCTGAGCACTAGGGTGTTATGTTTATGTTTACTTCGTCACTGTGTTCCAAAAAACGATTTTGTTTTCATCAGTGCAGAACAGTTTACTCAGAAACTAAAATTTAGAAACTAGGCTTTCAATTTCAAATAAGGTTGATTTCAGGAATTTTTGATGCTATGGCTATCTGGTGAAACAATTTAGATTTCTGACTACAAGGTTTGTAAGTTTTCTATTTTAATATTTTGAGTTGATTAGTCATTAGAAATAACTTGAGTTCTAGCTGCTAATGTCTTATGTTTTTATCATATCTAAATATTTGGAGAATCATAGGAACTTTTTCCCCGATTTCCTTGAACACTCATCTGATTTGTGAATCCTTAAATCTCTCTTCTCATGATATCTCCCAGCTTATGCTTTTCAACTTCAGAGGAAGTCCTAATAATAAACAGCTTGTGCCCCAGACAGCCACAGAATGTGAGACAGTCACACTCAAACCACGTATGATTCTAATCATAGCTGCAAATTTTTGGGCACCCTGAAATGCTCTGTAGAGGGGTGGTGAGACGGGGCTAATTTCACTTTCCTAATCCCATCACTTGGTTAGGTACCTCGATGCATGTTTTTATACTACCCTATATTTTCCCTTTATAGCATTTATCAAAACCATAATTATTTTCCCAAATCTTTAATATCAGTGAGCACCATGAGAATAAGGACAAAAATTATCCTAGGCTGCAGGGATCCTCCCACCTCAGCCTCTCAGAGTAACTAGGATAGCAAGTGCATATCACCACACCCTGTCGTAATATGCACCCGTAGTGATCTCAAGTGATCTGCCCACCTGGGCCTCCCAAAGTGCTGGGATTACAGGTGTGAGCCACTGTACCCGGCTATTTTCTTTCTAAATTGTAAAAATTATTTATGGCCAGGTGTACTGGCTCACACCTGTAATCCCAGCACTTTGCAAGGCTTAGGCAGGCAGATCATAAGATCAGGAGTTCAAGACGAGTCTGGCCAACATAGTGAAACCCTGTCTCTACTAAAAAAAAATACAAAAAAAAAAAAATAGCTGGGCAAGATGGCAGGTGCCTATAATTCCAGCTATTTGGGAGGCTGAGGCAAGGAGAAACACTTGAACCTCGGAGGTAGAGGTTGCAGTAAGCAGAGATCATACCACCGTCACACCCAGCAACAGTGTGAGACTCCATTTCAAGGAAAAAATACAAATAAAAAAATGATTAATAATAAATCTTTTTATGAACAGGAAAAAGTTTTATTTAAGAAAAGGATGGCCCGGTGCGGTGGTTCACAGCTGTAATCCCAGCACTTTGGGAGGCTGAGGCAGACGGATCACCTAAGATCAGGAGTTCGAGACCAGCCTGGTCAACATGGCAAAATCCCATACTAAAAATACAAAAATTAGCTAGGTGTGGTGGCACATGCCTCTAATTCCAGCTACTCGGAAGGCTGAGACAGGAAAATCGCTTGAACCTGGGAGGCAGAGGTTGCAGTGAGCTAAGACTGTGCCACTGTACTCCAGGCTGGGTGACAGAGTGAGATTCCGTCTCAAAAAAAAAAGCAAAGGGTGTAATTTTAAGTCAAACAATAACGTAAATACAAAATATCCCTCAGCCTGAGGACATGAACGGTGCGCCCTTGTATGTGTAGACACCTACCAGTCTTTTGGAACTGCTCCAGCTCCTCACTGCTCAGCTGCTTGATGGTTGTCATTGCTGCCTTAAAGACTCCCTTCAGACACTTCCCCAGGACCATGTGATCTGGTTCTGCCCTTTGCCGAATGCCGTACTTGTTTTTATCTGTAACTTTTTGGACATTCAATTCCTATAGTTAGTGCACAAGAGGAAACAAAAATGAGAAATGAAAACATATGGTCACAAAAACGTATGTCCACAGCAACATTACTCCCATCAGCCAGAAAGTAAGAACAGTTCAAGTGTCCATCAACCATGAATGGATAAAATAATACTAAAGACACATGCAATGAAATATTTAGCAATATGAAGGACTGAAGCACTCATACATCCTACAACATAAATTAATGTAAAACATTATGCTAGCTGAAATATGCCAGACATAAAAATTACAAATTTTACGATTCCACTAATATGAAATGTCCAGAGAATGTAAACCCAGAGACAGCAAATAGGTTCGTGGATACTGAGAAGTGGTCAGGTATCGAGGGGAAAAATGGTGTGTGAATGCTCATGAATACTGGGTTTCTTTCTGGGATGATGAAAATGTTCTAAAACTGTGGTGATGGTTGTACAATTCTATAAATATGCTTAAAAACCAGTGACTCGTATGGTAAGAAAAAAAATGTTTCTTATTAAGATCTACCAAGAGCATAACAGAAAAGAACTCCAGAACCAGAAATATAAACTTCATCCCTCAGAGGTAACCTTTGTGCAAGCAATTTCAGAGTACCACGAGGTTAATTATCAACTAAGCAGATGGATCAGTAAAACAGAACACTTCATCCTTCAGTCATGCTACTGAGGATTACTGATGCAGCAGGAATGGTGATGGCACAGTAGATAGGAAAATGAGATCTCATGAGAACAATAGTTTGAAGCAAATACTATGGAATGTTTAGTTTTGCCATTATATTTAGCTATATTAATCTCATTTTAAGTGACTGAAGTAATTTATTTAAAATGTTTTCAGTGGCGCACACCTGTAATCCCAGCACTTCAGGAGGCCAGGGTGGGAGGACTGCTTGAGCTCAGGAGTTAGAGACTGCCCCGGGTAACATGGTAAACCTCCATCTGTACAAAAGCCTGTACTACTATGCCTAATCTCAGCTATTTGGGAGACTGAAGTGGGAGGTGTGCCCGAGCCCAGGAGATGTAGGTTGTAGTGAGCTAAGATCACACCACTGCACTCCAGCCTGGGTGACAGAATGAGACCCTGTCTCAAAAAAAAAAAAAAAAAAAATCCTATTTTACGCATAACCACAGGCACTAATTTCAGAATTTACAATCTAACTTTTAGTTTCTAATATTTCTCTGGAATTCCCAAGCAACTGAAAACCAAATATAGAAATTAGTATTTTCTACAATAATGATTTTAAATATTACCTGTGAAAAGAATAAACAATGAAATTAAAAAAATATTTGTTTTCTATCATCATAAAGAAGATGAGGTAAAATGTTATTCATTTTTTAAAAATAATGGAATAAAGATGTTTAGGAAGACAACTGACACCATAATTCAAACTTTGACCCCAAAACTCCACTTCTGGTATCTACCCAATATCCATACAGTGATAGATGCATATATGTACATACATAGCTTTCGTTTGTAATCAGAAACCTAAATTTCAAACAAGAGAGTAATTATATAAATCATGAAGCAGTCAGGAAGTGAGACCCCAGGAGAGATGGAGTGGAAAGAGGCTCACTAATGCTAGTGCCTTGACTATTTATAAACAATGAGAGGGTCCTCATCACTTGTATAATTTGGAGGAAGAAAGTTTCTTTGGTAGTTATCAAAAAGTACTTCAGAAGGCCAGACGAAGTGGGGCTCATGTCTGTAATCCCAGCACTTTGGGAGGCAAAGGTGGGCAGATCACTTGAGGTCAGGTGTTTAAGACCAGCCTGGCCAACATGGTGAAACCCCACCTCTACTAAAAATACAAAAGTTAACTGGGTGTGGTGGCAGTGCCTGCAGTCCCAGATACTCAGGAGGCTGAGGCAGGAGAATAGCTTGAACCTAGGAGGTGGGGGTTGTGATAATGCACCACTGCACTCCAGCCTGGTTGACAGAGTGAGAGACTCTGCCTCAAAAAAGAAAAGAAAAGTACTTCAGGGAAAAGATGTGAATGAAGATGATAGGTGATAGATAAAAAAATTCATTGATCCTGAATCATTTTTAAAAGAATTACATCAAATTTATGTTGATTCCAAGAACAGTGTAAAATATCAATAAATTTGTTATGAATATACTAATAAACATAAATTATACAGTCAATGTGTACTTTATTGAAGATTATTCACCAAAATAATGTTCTCAAGGGAAGTCTATTTGTACCCAAAACAGACAAGTCATCCACTTTACCTCAATGACATATTTCTCCAAAGACTTGATATCTTTAAGAGCTTCTGGATCTTGATGGATAACCACAATGTCTTTCGAAGGATACTAGGAAGAAAAGAGAGGGGGGAAAGGTCACTCAGCAGCCAGTCCTCTAAACTGCAGAAAAATGAATATTAAATGTTTATTTGAACCTCAAGCTCTAGACTAGTCAGGCTGGACTAGTACTAAAAGTCATTCACACCCTCACTGCAGAAAAGGAAAAAGGCCATTGCTGGAAGCTCTCTATATTAGGAAAACACCCCAAAGACTTAAATATTTGGGTCAGTGCCATGTAAAATAGAAGTAAAATTTCAAACCTTTATGGGAATAGTTTTGCAGTCTCTGATCACTCTTTCAAGTTCAATCACAGACTGCATCCGAGATACTGCACTCTGTTTTCTTATCAATCAATTCTTCTCTGAATGGTAGAGGTAGGAATATGAAAGAGATTAGATTCAAAAGGAAAATTCAAGACATTAGGCATGCTTAACGTGACGAAGAGGGTCAGGCTACAGAATTGTGGCCAGGCCCTCCTGATGAGGCACCAGGGGAAGGGCAGCACAATGCCCGCCTGGGGGACAGAGGAGGAGGCAGCAGCCTGAGCCTGCCTCAGCACCTGGCACCTCCCCAGGGGCCTCCCATGGGGCATGCCCACACCCCACATACTGCAGCTCTACAACAGCGTTCCATACCAAGCATCCCTGCTACCATGTACCAATGTGGGCCCCATCATGCAGCCTGAGGAGGGGTTCATGTCTGCTGGGAGCTAGGGTGGGAGGCAGGGCACAGAGGGAGCTGGAACAGGGAAATGCCTCCTCTCCCCTACATGCTTGAGCAACCTCCCTCCTTGGCACAGGTGAGACTTATTTCTATTTGATTCCTACCGAACACAGGGCAGCATGAGGTAGTGGATGCTGAGTGTGTCCTTGTCTTGAACAGAAACAGGGTCAATCAGCACCTTTAGATTCTGGTACATCAATTCAGTGAGAAAAGGCGTGTAGGGAGCCTGTATGAAGACACAGGACATGTCAGTCACATGCAGTCATCAACAACTGACCTTATTTATACTGACAAACAACTAAACATGTTAGCGACACAGTAATATGCACTGAAATGGGCATGAGGTTACAAAACACCCCCCATGAATGAGAATGGCCTCACAGCCCTGAAGCATAGCTGTAGGACTATAGCCAGAATAACCCAAAGCATCTCTAGAATTCTGAAGAATGTCTAAAATAGAAACAGGCGCACCTAATGATATATCAGCCAAGTCAATATGCACAGAGGACTGGCCGTCCCAAACCTCAGAAACCTCATCTGTAAACTAGGGAAAACACCCCCTGCTTCACAGGATGAAGGAGATGAGATCAGGTATGGAGAGGATCAGGCACAGAATCTTGTACAAAGCAGATTTTCCTTCAGTTAAGGAATAAATAGGAGCCTTACAACATATAGAGTAGCAGAAACAGGATAAAAAGAAGTTGAAGGCTTTCCACTTTTATATTATTTAACTAATATTTGAACTGATAGGAGCATATATCAATTACTTGCATGTTTTCCTCTCAACGCTAAGTCTAAGTATTTTTTATGAAATATTTCCTATGACAGGTATTAGCTAAAGAACTTCCCCATTATTCGCAATTATGCCAAACCACATTAAGATGAGGTATGTCTTACTTTGCACTGTAGATCCTCCTTCTCCAGCCAAGGGCCCTGGCATACACTATACTACCAGAGGTTGGAAGAAAAAAAATCCAGTATTTCTTAGTCCTTACTTAACATGTATAAGCTAATAAGATTTCTGCAAAGAAACTACAGCTATAAGCTGTTATAAATTAACATCTATTTCTATTTTTGGTGGAATAATAGAGAATAGATATAAAAGGAGGACGCTGCAGCAAGTGGGTACCGAAGGCAGCACACAGGCCAAAGGGTACTAGAAAGAAGCCAACCATCTTACCATTTAAGTCTGTAAAGAGAAAGCAGAACACTAAACAAGGTTTCTAGGGCCATGACACAATCTTCCATCCCATTTTCACCCTAATGAATAAAAAGAAAACATAAACTTTAAACTGCTAAAATAAGTGTTTATCATTTAAAAAAAAACTTTATTAAGAAGAGGCAACCCTCAAAGAGCATGCAGTATGCAGACAGGACACGACGCAGAGTAGGAAAAAGGGCCACGACCACAGGCTGACTAGGGTGGCCCTGCAAGGCAGTGCAGGAAGCCTGGCCAGGATGTGCAGCTGCTGTCTCTCTATCCCCACCTGAGGCGAGCTGATAGGAAAGTAAAGCCTAACTGTAGGACCAAAAGGCTGAGGACAGAATGGATCTACCCACAACAGACAGAAACAGCTGCTAACTGAAAACTTTAAGTGCCTTTAAATAAGATATTTTATGTTAGAAAAGTATATACTGTGTATTAAAAAAAAACTTATTCATTGTAGGAAAAACGAAGATAATGAAAAAATTTCAACCATGAATAACTTATCCAGAGATAACCTACTGTACACATCTTAGCATATGTCCTGGATATGTGTGTGAGAGATACACCTGCACAAAAACGAAATTATAGTTGTGTTGCAGGGTTTTATTATTAATACATTTTAAGCCATGACTGGCTGCATGTGGCGGCTCATGCCTGTAATACCAGTGCTTTGAGAGGCTGAGGTAGGTGGATCACATAAAGTCAGGAGTTAAAGGCCAGCCTAGCCAACATGGTGAAACCTGTCTCTACTAAAAATACAAAAATTAGCTGGGCGTGGTAGCACACACTTGTAATCTCAGCTACTCAGGGGACTGAGGCAGGAGAATCACCTGAACCCAGGAGGTAGAGGTTGCAGTGAGTCAAGATCCTACCATTGCACTCCAGCCTGGGTGACAAGAGTGAAACTCTTGACTCAAAAAAAAAAAAAAAAAAAAAAAAAAACAAAGACATGACTAATGGGTGGTGGGAGCCTTCACTCTCCCTGTTGTACATCACTGTTATTTATGTACCTTGCTTAAGTCCTGTGACCAGGACCTATGATCTGTTCATCCTAAACCCCCAACAGCTACACAGTTCTGTCCACAGCCAAATAACCAACTCCCTTGTGGTAAAAGGAAGGAGGTATATCCCTCTCAATATTAAAGCCATACCTGCCAATATTTTTATAAAATATTTGCATGACTTTATTTCGAATGTTAACAGGTCTGCTCAGTTTAGTCCTGTTCATGCCCTGACATTCTCCCTCCAATATATGTATGTAATTGTGTTGTGAAAAAAAAAATGCAAAATGACTTTTAGAACTTATAGATCCCTATGCCTCAAATGACAAATACAGTTAAAATGCAATGTAAAAGGAGAAGAAAAACATAGCTTCAAAAACTGAGAGCATCTGAAAATGTTCCTTTCCCTTTGGGCTATGCTCCTATTTCTTCTACTCTCAAACTTCATGTGCTTTTTGCTTTTCTCAACTGCAGTCTGCACTTACCTTTAATCTTCTGCGGTTCATTCTAACATACCAATTGGTGAGAATATCTACAAATTTGACAAGGCCAGGCACCACAGTGTAAAGCCTATAAGCTAAAAGTAAGACAAGTCAATCAGGCAGCAAGTGAGTACCAGGCACCTGGGGTGGGGAGAGGGCTGGATACAACAAAGAATGGGCCGCCTCTTCTATCCAAGGGCCTCCACTTACTAAGAACCAAAATGAAGCAATCATGTAACGACCATTTGTTGAGGATGTGCTACATGACAGTCAAGGTATTCCGAGATGCACACAAAAGACCATCTTATGAGCCACATGAGAATTCCCACTGGTCAGTAAAAAAAGCCAAAAACTCCAATATGTGTGGATCAAAGTCCAAGGCTGCCCACCAGAGTGTAGGAAATACCATTTACAGGGAGTTGTACAATTTGACAGCATAAACAATGCCCAACTCCTTTCTATTGTAGTACTTTGTACTGCAACTAAAAGACATACAAAAAGCTCAAATCAGATGCTAAAAGGCACAGCATAGGCCAGTGTTTCCCAAACAAAAGGAATTTTGCCCTGGGAGGAACATGTCTCAATGTTTTAAGAAACACTTTGCTTGCCACAACTCAACTTGGCGGGTAGCATGGTGCTACTGGAATCTAATGGGTAGACCCCGGAGACGGTGTTCAACATCTTATAATGCACAGCACAGCCCCACCACAGAGGATGATCTGGCCCAAACTGTCCATAGTGCTGCTGTTGAGAAACTGGCATAGGATATGAATAAACTATAACTTGCTTTCTAAGTATTAAAACAGTCAAGTAAAAACAGCAAAAGAGGTGGTGAAACTCTCGAGGAATCAGGAGGATTTGAAGGGTTCCCTGAAAAACTCAGAGGTCAGGCAGGAAAGAAACGGTGTTTAGCCAGTCATGTCTGAGGCAAGGCTTATTTTAAGGATTCTCACTCACCTCCCCTTTAAATTAATACCCTGTTATAATGTTATAATGGTGGCACGTGCCACCATGCCCAGCTAATTTTTTGTATTTTTAGTAGAGACGGGGTTTCACCATGTTGACCAGGATGGTCTCAATCTCTTGACCTCGTGATCCACCCGCCTCGGCCTCCCAAAGTGCTGGGATCACAGGCTTGAGCCACCGCGCCTGTCTAGATCTGACTTTTAAAAATGTAATTTTTTTTTTTTTTTTTGAGATTGAGTCTCGCTCTGTCACCCAGGCTGCAGTGCCATGGCACCATCTTGGTTCATGCAGCCTCCGCCTCCCAGATTCAAGTGACTCTCATGCGGAATAGCTGGGATTACAGTGTGTGCCACCTTGCCCACCTAATTTTTGCATTTTTAGTAGAGACGGTGTTTCACCACATTGTCCAGGCTGGTCTTGAACTCCAGACCTCACAATCCACCTGCCTCAGTCTTCCAAAGTGCTGGGATACATATATGAGCCACCACACCCAGCGTGAAAATGTAATTTTTTAGGCTGGGCAACAAGGCAATATCCTGTCTCTAACAAAAATACAAAAATTAACTGGGCCTGATGCCTATAATCCCAAGATGTTGGGAAGCCCAGGTGAAAGGATTGCTTGAGGTCAGGAGTTCAAGATCATCCTGGAAAACACTGTGAGACCTCATCTCTACAGAAAATTCAGAAGTTTTAAAAGGAAAATGTAACTGTTTTGACACGAACAAAATTACAAATGTGTTTACTTTCACCCAATAATATACCTTAAAGCTTTATCTTCATAAATACAATATACCCACAAGGTTATGCATTGCCGCAATATTTATAACAGCCGAGAGAACATAAACAACCCAAGTGTTCATCATTAGGCGATGAGCTGCAAGCACAAAATACACAGCTTCTATGAAGCGATGTCCAGAATATATGAAGCAAAAGGAAGCAGAGCAGTGTGCATGGAATGCTGCCTATTAAGAAAGGGAAATAAAAATATACAGATGTACTTACATTTGCAAAAATGAAATATCAAAAGAATAAAGGAGAAACAATTATCTGGGAAGGAGAGAAATTTGTGGTGAGACAGAATGAAAGCGAGGCTGTGGGCCAAGTGAGGTGGCTCACGCCTGTAATCCCAGCACTTTGGGAGGCCAAGGCGGGTGGATCACGAGGTCAAGAGATCGAGACCACCCTGGTCAATATGGTGAAACCCCATCTCTACTAAAAATACAAAAAATTAGCTGGGCACGGCGACGCATACCTGCAATCCCAGCTACTCAGGAGGCTGAGGCAGGAGAATTGCCTGAACCCAAGCGGAGGTTGCAGTGAGCCGAGATCGCGCCATTGCACTCCAGCCTGGGTAACAAGAGCGAAACTCCGTCTCAAAAAATTAATTAATTAAAAAAAAAAAATCCACATCTGTACGTTTCCCATGGCTGTCCAACAAAAGCATGGGCATCCAAACAGTAAGAACATGTAACACTCAGATTTTAGTATCTAAACTCTGTTCAATAAAACAAGCTGAAAGAAATGACTGAAAGGTATTTGGCAGGAAAAGCACAAAGTGAACCTCAGACACCTTGTGTCAGAAAGCAAGAAAAGCTTCAGAGAGTATGTGTCACATCAAAGGAAAGAGAACTAGCTTGAAAAGACCTCAACATGTCCACATTATGACAAGTCAAGGAAAAACTGAGTATTTCATTAAAACACACTGGATAAAGTCAGGCATGGTGGCTCATGCCTGTAATCCCAGCACTTTGGGAGGTGGGTGGGTCACTTGAGGTCAGGAGTTTGAGACCAGCCAGACCAACAAGGAGAAACCCCGTCTCTACTAAAAATACAAATAATTAGCCAGTCGTAGTGGCACACTCCTGTAATCCCAGCTACTTGGGAGGCTGAGGCAGGAGAATCGCTTGAACACGGGAGGCGGAGGTTGCAGTAAGCCAAGATCACAGCACTGCACTCCAGCCAGGGTGACAGAGCGAGAGCGAGAGCGAGAGCGAGAGCGAGAGAAAGAAAGAGAGAGAGAGAGAGAAAGAAAAAGAAAGAAAGAAAGAAAGAAAGAAAGAAAGAAAGAAAGAAAGAAAGAAAGAGAGAAAGAAAGAGAGAAAGAAAGACAGAGAAAGAAAGAGACAGAGGGAGGGAGGGAAGGAAGGAAGACCAGGCGCAGCCTGGGTGACAGAGTGAGACTGTCTCAAAAAAAATACACATTAGATGCATAAAAATCTATGGATCTACAATTATGCTCGAGAGAAAGCAAAAAGATAGTAATTCAAACTCCTCCCTCCAAAAAAAAAAAAAAATCTGGCCAAGCGCGGTGGGAGGCCGAGTCATACAGTCAAGAGATGAAGACCATCCTGGCCAACCATGGTGAAACTCCGTCTCTGCTAAAAAATACAAAAATGAGCTAGGTGTGGTAGCACACACCTGTAGTCCCAGTTACTTGGGAAGCTGAGGCAGGAGAATCCCTGGAACCCAGGAGGCAGAGGCTGCAGTGAGCTGAGATCACGCCACCGCACTCCAGCCTGGTGACAGAGCGAGACTCCATCTGGTGGGTGGGGGAGGCTGGGCAGAGTGGTTCAAGCCTGTAATCCCAGTACTTTGGGAGGCCGA